TTTATTTTACATTTAGGTGCGCACAAAAATGCATTTGCTGCTCCCACACTGTAGCTGGGGCCTGTTTTAAATTTGTTTGACAATTTTTGCCTTCTGGTTGGAACTTAGCTGTTAGTTTGTTCCTTTAGAGTTAAGTCCAGCACCTGCCGCCTTGTTCCTACCGCATCCTGCCCCGTCTGTTTCTGTAACTCTTTTGGCCTTTTTTTTCCTTCTGTTGAGTGACTGCACCTTTTACAAAATGATTCTCTTGTAATTTTGGCTCAGTGGTTGCTTTATTATTTTCAAGTTGTGTTTACTGTTGTGTGCGGATTGGCTTTTCCTATTCTATTTTTGTGTCGTTTCTAATCTTTTAAATTACTTTTATTCTCCTTAACTGTTTGATCAGTCTTTGTCCCCTGCCTTTGGCAAAAGATCTCCCTCCCCATTCCCTGTTATTCGGCTTTTATTTCACTCTCTATTTCTGCTTGGGGCTTCTCAGAGAAGAGAAGTTCATGCACAGCAATTTTCTGTTCTTTAATCCACGCCACGGCTGGGGCCCCAGAGAGCGGGTTCGAGCCCCGCAACCTCCGTGTCGTGTGCACACGCACCTTGCCGCTGAGCTCCTCCGTAGGCGCGGCTGAGCTGTCCTTGGAGCCCAGTGCCCTGCAGCCGGGCATCTCCACGCTGCCCAGGGGAAGGCTCGGAGCCCCTTAACTATTCTATTGCATATCACCTTCTCTGGTTTTCAGTGCTTTATGCTGTGCTACTTCCCTAGCTTTTTTTAACTGATACAAAATTTTATGTTACGTATATATTGCATTTTTTTTCTCATGGTGGTTTTGCTTCCAGTTTTAACATACTTAGTGGATAAAAGTGTTGAAGTCAGTTTATTACACCCACCTAAAAATCCAGTACCTTAAACATCTCTAATGTTCATCATCTGCTTTCATTTTTCATGGCCTTTCCCCCAGTATGTTTGTGCTATTGATTTTATTTTTTGTACTATTTTTAAGACTGTTTTAGGATGCTGAGAACTATGTGCGTTAACCCACAGCTTCAGGCTTTTCTTAACTTCTTGCTTCTGGCCCTTTGCCTGTCGTTTCCTTGTCCCAGAACTCACCGTGCTCCCTATTGTACAGACAGCTGCGCCCCCGTTCAGGAAATGTTTGGACAGAGCCCTACAGTTATTTTCCACATTTGTCCTTCTGGAATTCCTATTCGCTCTGTTTTGGATTTTCTTGTTGTTTTCACCACCTCTTTTATACTGATTTTTTCCTCTTGTTTATTTTTGTATTTTGAGTAATTTCTCCACCCATTTGTGGCATGTCGTTATTCTAGCTCCAGCCGGGCCTCATTTCTCCATCCATCGCACTTTCAGTTTCCTTTCATTCACTGTTTGTGGCTCCAGTAGGCCCTCTTTAAGGTGCGCTTCTCACCAGCGTGGGCTGGGTGTGCCTGTGTGTGTCCCTCGGGAGTTGCACATGGTGTCTTCCTTTCCTTTTGCCTAATGCTTCAGGGTTACTGTCATGCAAAGCCAATTTTAAGCCGTGTTTTGCCTTGGGATTTCTTATACAGCACAGAAGATGCTATAAAAACTGTGCACCCACTGTCAGCAGACCGTCGTGTTGGGAGTTGTGGAGGTTTGGTTTGTTTCTGGGATTTTGTTTTTGTCTTTTTGTCCCCCATCTCTCCATCCCGCGACCCACTTCCAACAGAGAAGCGTTTTTGTTTTTCCCCTTTTTGACATATTTTCTGGTCCACTGTTTTCCCTTGAGCCTTGCTGTTTTTTCTGGGTTTAGAGCCCTTGTGCTCTCTTTAGGCTAGTAAATCGGAAACCCCGGAATGCTGAGCGTGGTACCGGGTAGTGCACAGCGCTCGCGAGGCTTGCATCTGTGTCCTCACGAAGAGCCCTGTCTTTTCTTTCTTTTTCCTGCCGGGCTCCTTTCCTCGGCCTCTCCCTCCCGCTTCCCTCCTGCCTTCCTGCTGTCCTGTCCCCTGCCTTCCTGCACCCCTCTGTCTCTCGCTGTGGAAAGATGCCTGTGCAAGCCTGTTCCGTTGTGTTCAGTTAGGCAGTCTGTGACATGCTGCCTTCTCTAAGATAACAGAATAGCCACACAGCCAGAAATGGAAATCTTTCCCTGCACTTTAGAGCTCATCTTCTACCTGTCTGCTCCCCATTTGCTCTGTCCGTTTTTTCAATGAGAAATATACTATTTCTTAAAAGGAAAATTTAATGTGCTCATTTAAATCAAATAGTTTTAAAGTATAAATTATAATTTTTTAGTTTCTCTTCTACAGGCCTATTTGCTTTTAATGCAAGCTTCAGTTCAGCATCACTGGGTGAAGAACGCGTTGTTGGCCTTCTGCTTTGGCCCGGAAGTAGTCAGTGAAAGTTTTCTCTTCCAGAATTCTCGGACTTGTGCTTCTTAGGAGTGGGTTCATGTGTTCATGGAACTGAAGTTCATAGATGAGCCTTTACTCATTTCCCCCTCGCTTTGGTTCTGCTCTCAAACCTGCCTCTACCTGACAGATATCTGCCGGGTCCCCTGGCAGGAGGCTGTGTTGTCCCTGCTCCTCCTGCCTTATGTGAGAGGGGCAGCTTTGAGGTGCGGTTCTCATTTTCCTCAGCTCCTGTGGGGATATTCCATAAGATCCAGCCGCTGCTGCTCGTTTCTCCCTGAATGTAAGACCTCCAGTTTCTCTATGAAAAGTCCAGTTTGTTTTCAAGTCACCCACGACATTCCAAGCTTCCTTCACTTCCTTCTCCTTTTTAAATTTTTACTAAGAATTTCAATCCTGCTTGCTGACTGTATTCATTTTTCCCCGTAGATCCCCAAATACTGGTACTACCTGAAGGTGCCCAGAGGCCCCTGTCTCATATCTGTGACACCTGGTTTGTATTCATTCTCCCTGAGTGGAACGAGAATCCCCATTAGATTTGGTGTAAAATAAAGTCCTTGCTGCTTCTCCGGGAACGTGCATACTCCTAGGGGGCTGGTGCCTCCTGGGCTTGCTGGGCCACTCTAGAGCAAACGCTAAAGCTGTCCAGCTCATTTTACTCAGCGCCTAGTTGGCGTGGCCTGTGGAGGAGCTTATGGCGTTTAAAATAAGCTGTTTAAGTTCTCCCGGCCAAAGCGCGCGTATCTTGCAGGTTTGTCACTGTTGAAGTAGAGACAGTTGCTTTTCCAGTGCCCGCACCACTGACTCAGCGTTGTGGAGCATATTCCTCCCATAAACACTGCATCTTTCTAGAAAGGCTTTTTGGGGGTCGCATAGGAAAACCAATAGTGTAGATAGGGGAGCTGATGCTTTTTAAGTCAATTTGTTGTTTCTTAAACTAGATTCCTCGCTTTGGGGGAGTTTTTATGATCATGAGTGTCCTTACATCATCCAGACTGGTTAAAAAAAGTTTTACTTTTGCATTTGTAATCATTACATGACTCACAGAGTCCCATACTGTACCCTGCGGTGTGGATTAGTAACCCCTGTCAACACCTGACACATTTAAGAGTCAGAACATTCAGGTAGTGAGTCAAAAAATTTTTTATATTCTTCTCATATTAGATGAAAGATCTATATTCCTTCTCCTAATGGGGATTGTTGTCTAATTTTTGTGTCTAGCAGTTTTCTCAGGTCTAGCTCACTGTTTTTTGTTTGTTTTTGGACCTTTTTGCCCAGGATGTTAGGAAGTTTTGGTGAAAAATATGTCTTCTGAAACATTTAATTGTAATTTCACATTTAAATGTAATAAATTGAATACCACATCTGCATGTAACTCTTAAGTCTTCTTTGTGTTTGATCGAGTGAAAATTAGCAGATTTACCAGAATTTATCAAAAGCACTGTCTTGGTTACTTTTCTCTCATTACTGGGACAAAATATCTGACGCCAAAAATTTAGGAAAGAAAGGTTTATTTCACTTACAGTTTGTGGAGGTTTCAGTCCATGCTGGGCTGGCTACAAGGCAGGGTGGCACATAGCAGAGGGCGACCATTCAAGGCGGTGCAACACAGCAAAAGCAACAAGCACAAAAGGGAGGAATGGCGGCAAGCAGCCTCTTCCTCTCCCTTACATATGCAAACTATCCACCCCAGGGTGGGTGTAGCTCTCACACCCATAATCAACCAAACTCTAAAAGCCTGCCCCATCACCGCATGAGGCTTTGGGGGGACACCCAGGCACAAACCATAACAAGCACAAAAGTTCACTGAAACTGTGAAAAAATATTCAATAGTTGAGCAGTAGAATAATGGTTGTAAATTTGAGTGCAGTGTGTTAACAAACATTATCAATTATTTATCGAATTTCTCCATGGGAGGGAAAGTACTTTACGGTATATCTGAAGAGCACAGGAAGGCTGAGGCGCTCCACTGGGTATTTAGGTCCATGCTGCAGCCTGGACTGGAGATGCAGGAGGCCTTGGGTAGTATATGGTGTAACTCAGGACTGTGCTTTGTGCTTAATAACACAGAAAAATTTAAACCACTTATTAATTTTAGGAGTCTAGCCACAACTATTGTTACAGACATAATGGTAACTATAGGTCAGAACAAAGCCCTATTTTATAAACTTAACTTTGCAACACAGAACTAGAGGGTTATAATGTGTTTTTTTCTTGCTTTTGACCCTCATTTTTCTTTCTGACAGACTAGAGGGAATACCTTCTGGTATGCTCCTTAGTGAGTCCTAAAATATATTTCATTAAATTTAATGTATAGATTACGTTTAGTTTCAAGGATCTGTCTTGGTTTTGCTTGGATGCCTGTCTTTATGACATTATGGCAAAGGAAAGAGATGGAAGGTTGGATTGTGTAGCAAACAGTTTCTTTGTGTGGCCTATGAAGTGGAAGTGGTGGTGGTGTGTAGATGACATCTTTTTATTTTACACTCATTATTTGTGTCCTATAAATGAAAGATGAAATAAGACGGTGATACTTATTTCCCCCTTCTCCATCTCATCTGTTTTAAAATTGCATTCATTTGTGGCTAATATATTTTTTTCACATTCTATTTCTTTTTCAGGCTAGACATCTCATAGAGAGATTTTTTAATCAACAAGTAGAAGCTCTGGGCAGACGCGCAGAGCCATTGCCTCAGATATACTACATTGAAGGCACCCTCAGAATGGTGTGGATTAACCGCTGCTACCCAGGGTATGGGATGAACATGCTGAAGCACCCACGCTGTCCTGAGTGCTGCGGTATGTAAGGAGCTAGGATTTCACCTTCGTGTAGATGAAAACTGGTTTGCTTTCCTTATGCCTAAGTGCAGGGCTGTCACTTGCATTGCTCTCATTCAAATATGGCTTCAGATTGTGTGGAGTAGTGTGTTTGACAAGACTCCACAGTCACAGAGAGAGCTTGTGGCATGAGTGTTCAGGAGCCCTAGCCGGCTGTCTGGGAGGAAACGGGTATAGTTCTGAGTCACTTAAGGTTATTTATCCTGAAAACAGCAAAACGATACAGCCTTTAGCATCTGTTACCGAGAATTTACTGTTTAGTCTAGGGCACACATCTTTGTGACTTCCTCTTTTCTTTTTAAAATAGATGTTTGCATTCCTTTAGTAGCAGCTGCGTTCTTTGACTGTTGACCCTACCTCTGCAGGACCCGAGCCCCTCTTTACCTGATCACAGATGAGTTCTATAGAGGTGCTTGGCCTCATTTGAGTAAATTTAAATGCACCTCTATTTTAGGGGCTCAGAGGGGCAATTAATTTCTGTTTTAAAAAACTTTCTGGCACAGACATAACTAAATTAGTTGCATTTTCATTCAGTTATTCCTGATTTTTTTCTCCTTAAGTTAGATTCAAACTTTTCCTGTAATAAAGCAGTAAATTTTTTTTCTTACTTTCATTGGTTAGATTTTGCTTTATCGTTTTCTTGTTTTTGTTTAAATATATGAAATTTAGCAAAATAAATTGAAAATTACCACAAGAAATACAATAAAAAATTAACAAATGCCCCACTCCTAATTGGCAATTATGTATATCACTCTCGCATAGGTAAGAGTGAAAAAAAGCCTAGAAATACCCACAAAAGTAAACAGAACCTAGTAGGTTAGCTATTTTTATGCATTTGTATTTTTATTCAATTCATTAAAAAGGTACACTAAAATGTGTAGATATTTGCATCTCAATTTAGAATTTAGAATTAAACCACTCTTTTCAAGTGAAGTAGTGATATAGAATCTCAGGATTACAAATAATTTTGCCCCTATTTTACCAGCTTATAAAAATTTGGGTAGTCGCACAATTTTCATAGTGTCTAATTTCACCCTGTAGTTACAACATTCACATTGCTACGTGCTGTACTTTTGGATCATGTTAGTTAAGCAGTTGTTTCTGTCAACAGACCTCATGAGCATATACAAGAAAATTCAAATCCGAAAAACAGTTTCCATCACGGAAATCCTGTTCTCCCAAATGGTGGCTGTGCACAGAGTCTAGGGACAGAGGAGGGTCCGCTATGAAACAAATAGAGCACAAGAACTGCCGAAATGCAAGGAGAGGATGACCCAGGGAGAACTTGGGCTGGGGGCGGTAGGGATCCTGAGGACTTAGTGTGCTCGAGCTGAGGTTTCCGTGGTGGTCGGAGGCTTGCTGTGGCTGCTCTGAAGGGTGCTGATGGCAGGCGCTGGGTCAGCAAGGGCAGGGTGAGCAGGGCGCTGGGAGGGGCCAGGGCTAGGTGCTGTGCGCACCGCGGAGGCGGGGGTGAGCATGCCTGGGAAGCAAAAGGCAAGAGGGGAACTTGGTGTGTGTGCAGGGGGTGGTTTGAGTGGAGGACAAACAAGGAAAATTTATGTGTGGTATTTTCACGAGCTCGCTGTTGCTCCTCAGTGGACTTATTAACTAGTGATCTGTCAAATTCCTAATTTCGTTTTGTGCCATCCCATGACAAATAAATACTTTAATTTAGAATTACCTTTCTGCAGTTACTATTCCTGCAGGCTAAGTGAGAAGCTCCCTTTTGTGACAGACTTATTAACTATATGGGACATTTAGGCCCCCAACACATTGTTTTTTTGTCTCTAATCCAGAAGGCCATTGCTTCGTAAGTTTAAAGGAGTACATAGGACCCAAAACCACATTTAAATCATTGTCTAAATGAGAAGCAGTATAAAGTATGCCAGGATAGCACCAGTTACAAGAAAAAACTAGCATGCGCAATGAACCTAGAATCCATTTGATTGTGTAGATAGCAGCTCATAAAATATATGAGGTATTGTGAAAATGGCTTATTTTGAGAGTGAAGATGCACATTTATGCTCAACAGAAAAGACTGAGACCGGGCATATTTATTATGTAAGGGAAATTTATTTATTTTCTTAAAAAAAAAACACTGGATTTGTTCCTTTCTATGGATATTTTTCTTCATTTACTTTTATTTCTAGATGGCAAAGATTGATTATGAACTAGTAGAGACTTCATACTTCTGCCTGTGTACTCTTTCTATTTCACTTCCTATTTTTCACTATAAAACTGCCTTGTAACAGTGCATTTAGCATTGTATATTACATTTAGTTTTAATGTTTATCTTTACTTTTATATTTTGTGGTACTTGGCATTGAACCCTGGGTATTATGAGCAAACTATACCCCCATCCATTTTTATTTTCTATTCTGAGACAGGTTCTCACTGAACTACCCAGGCTGGGCTCCAACTTGCCATCCTCCTGCCTCAGCCTCCCAGAGTGCTGGGTTTATAGGCATGTGATATAATTCTTGGCTACATACATCATTTCTGTTGATAATTTACAAAGAATTTTTAACTAAATTTATTTATTATACATGCTTCATAATTTCATAAAATTATGTCTTAAAGACATCACCACTGAAGACCAGGCAAATATATTTTTCCTGGTAGACTTTTGTCAAAATACAGATTCTGAAGTAGTTTACTTCCCAGTTTCTGTTCTATAATTTCTAATCTTTTTGTGAAACTGTATCTTGACTATTTATATTTCTCCACTTTATCTCCACTAATTTCATCAAAAAACCCCAACAAACACTTGCTGGACATTGTGCCCCCATCCTTACACTGAGGCAACAGGCCCTGGTCGTTGGTTTTCAGGGTCTGAATGTAGCTGGAAAACAACACCCAGCATTTTTCCTTCTGTCGCTTTTTATGAAGAATCGCTGGGAATTGCTCGAGCCTTCTGGAAGTCAGGAACAGTGTCTATGCTGTGAGCTTCCCCAGTGACACAGCTTTGGGGTCAGGGGTCCAAAGTGACGAGGGTGCAGGCTGAAGCAGGCAGTCCCCCGACACTCTTGTTACTGAAGTGTGCCTTTGTGCTTTAGGTGAATGTTCAGTAGAAAGGTGATGGTTCAGTAGGTATGACTGTCTTAAATAAGGTCTTCCAGGTGCTGCAGATTTATCCTATTCAGGCATGCAACTCTGAGCTCTTGCTTTAATTTTATACCAAATGATCAAAAAGTCATGTATTGAAAGAATACATTTGTCAGTATGACAAACTCATTTTGTCTTTAGATATACAAGACCTCATTCTCATTTTGGATCTTTACATTTCTCAGAAAACTATAAATGGAAAAATCATGGCCAAAGGATAGGTAGTGCTATGAATTAGCCAAATGTGTTGCCTGGATTTTTTTTTTAAAAGATAGATTTACTTGGTTCCAGAAAAACCAGGAACAAGTCGCCTGCCTGAAATTGCATGAAACTGTCAAGTATTTTTATGAACTAACAATGTAATGAAGAGGTGGTGGTACAAGAACCTAAAAAAGTAGAACAACCTGCTTCTGCAGGCTATAGTGGACCAGTTTTGTGCAGACAGAAGCTCCTGCTGAGAGAACATTGGAGAAGTGAATTAAAATCTAAAAATTAATCTTTCTATGGAAGGCAAGTGTCAGGGCAGAAAGGGTCAAGGAACAGCAGTCCTGGGTGGAGGGAAACTGCAGAAGTAAATGGTGCTGAAGGCACAAGACAACATGTTTGTGTGCTGAGAGCAAACAGTTGCCAACTCAGAAGACAGCACCCAATGGACACGCTGTCAAAGGGATGACAAAGTAAAGATACCCCAGGCAAACAATACAGGAGAGACTTTGTCACTGCAGAATTCTTCTTCAGCATATACTCAAGGGCTAAAGGGAGTTCTTCAGGCAGTCAGAAATGGTCCTCACCAGAAACATGTCATCCAGCAAAGAGGAAGAGGGATGGAAGGGAAAGCTAGACAGAAGAGCTGACGATCAGCATACGTGTGTATTGTGTCACGTGTGTGTGAAAGGTTCATGGGCTTTACAGCATAAGGAATTAGAATACACGGACAGAGGAACACCATGCAGGACGGTGTAACTGAATGGAAAAGCGCAAGGAGTCAGTATTTTCTTGAATTAGTGTCAATAATGATAGGTATTGGATCATGATGAGATTCACATGCATAAAATATTCTTTAGGATGACCAGGAGAGATAGAAAAAAACATGTCCATAGCAACTAGATGGAAAAAATTAAAAGAAAAAATTCCACTTGATCAACCTCTCAAACAGCCAAGTCTGGAAGGGTAGATGAAAGCACCGTTGGGTCAAAGAAAATAAACCACGTTAATGTAAATGGACCACTTCACAGGAATGAGAAAAGTCTGGTATTTTATTTCATTAAATTCAAAATTTTGTTTCTCTAGTCTATGAACTACGGGTACATGCTATATTTATTATTTAATTTATTTGTATCTAAACACGCATACTTACGTCTTTTGAAAGGTTCTTATTTGTGTTACTGACCTGTGCCCTTACTAAAACTTTATTAAATGTCTTGCTATGTAGAGAGGATACACAACAGTCTTCATCCTTTTCTAAAAACTGTGAACTTTAAATTGGTTTACCCAGTTACATTAAATAAAATCATGGTTCAGAATTTATCTGTGGTTTTATTGCATGTATGTAGATTAATAGGCTGCTTTTACAATAATAGCATACAGATAGGTTTTTCAAAATCAAGTCTGAGAACCTGTTTGGCAACAGATTACTTTAACGATCTCACATTATTACAGAACATATTTGTGAGATTATGTCACACCTTTCTCTTTTTTTTCTTTTTTCTGGTACTGGGAATCAAACTCATGACCTCGCGCTTGCCAGGCAGGCGCTGTGCCGTTGAGCTAAATCCCCAGCCCTGTCACACCTTCCTTGTGACACTATTTTTAATTTTTTCATGTCTGTATATTTTTCTACTATATGATTCATATCA